TAATAGCCTGATTCATACATAACCCACTATGCCAGAGGGTACCTATATAAAAAAATAGAAAGGAGAAAAATTCTTCAGTTGGCTAGCAGACAAAACACCTGGAAACATTTTAATGTGTTTCCTTGTAGGTTTTTATCTCCCACACAACTGTGTTGTCTTTGTTTCTTGTTTTTACATAGTCTACCTTATACAGGGTCACAATGGGTTGGAACCAACTAAATGGCACTTAACAACAACAACAATATAAAAAGACAGCTTTTTTCACTAGACATTAATTAACACATTCCATGCTCTGGTAGCGTAGTGGTTACAAATCGGGCTGCTAACCTCAGGGTCATCAGTTTGAAACTACCAGAGAAAGATGAGGCTTTCTGCTCCAGTAACGATTTACAGCCTCGGAAACCCTGTACAGGGTCGCTATGAGTCGGAACCGACTCCACGGCACATAACAACAACAACAACATATTTATATAACTCATTTTAAATGACTTCATTGAATACATTTGCCTTGCCTCCAGCATTTAGTATTCTTTCAAAAAAAGAATGTTTTAGGTGAATGCTTACACAAAAAATTAGGTTGCCACTTAACAATTTTTATACAGATTGTTCTGTGAGGTTGGTTATAATTTTCATTGACCTCGCTTCCCATCTCCTCCTTGCCTTCTCTTTTTTGCTTTTGGGTAAATGTTGACCATTAGCTTCAAATAGTTGGCTATTTAAGGATGTATCTTACTCATAGGTGACATTGTTTTTTTCATAAGCCAATCTATTATTTGGCTGGAAGGTGACCTCCAGAAATAGATCCAGCTCCAAGTTCAAAGGTTATCTTCAGGCAATCGTCTCAGGGGTTCCTCTAGTCTTTAGTGCACTAGTTGTTGTTAAGCGCTGTCAAGTCGATTCCAACTCATAGCAACACAGTAATAGGGTTTCTGAGGAGCGGCTGGTTGTCTTGAATCACTCCCAGTGCAATTAGCCATCCAGTGCTTATCCTGCAGTGCCTTACCAGCACTCTGGCCATTTTTTTAAAAAAGGAATTTGAATTTGTATTACATTTTTCTGGAGCCTTCTGTTGTGCTCTTGGTGTTCTTTTAGCCTGAAATGCCCATCCATAAAATGCTTCCAAATGCTGTTTCCTCTCTCCTTAAAAAAGAGCCCTCTGTGCTATCATAGTATAAAGTTATACTTTCATCTAGGCCTGATTTCAGTTTGTATGTGGTTCATATGTCTACATACCTGCACATGCATAGACATGTATGAGGGGACTTCAAAGAGTTCTTCGAAAAATTCCATTACTGAATTAAAATAATTCAGTTTTCCCACAAACTTTTTGAAGCTCCTCTCTTACAGGACTCTTGGACTGTGAATCAAAAGGTTGTCTGTTCAAATCCACTAGCTGACTCATAGCGACCCTGTATAGAGTTTCTGAGAAGTGGCTAGTGATTTTGAACCTTGCACGTTGTGGTTCAAACCGACCTTGAGGTTGAGTGCTTATCCTACAGCACCACACCAGGACTCCACACCTAGATTGTTGTACCATAGACTCAAAGTACCATTGAGTCAGTTCCGACCCATAACAACCCTATATAGGGTTTCTGAGGATAAGTACTATTACATTAGGCTATTTTTAATCTTTGCTGAGCAAACTTGTCAAGTTTCACACACAAAAAAAGATTTTGAGTGGAATTGCACATCTAGTTTAAGAGAATTGTCATGGTTATGTTTTTTAAAAAAAATTTTTATGATATGTTTTAAATATAGCCTTATAATTTTCTCCATAAAGATCCTGTATACATTTTTATTAAATTTATCCTTTAGATACTCTGTATTTTTTTGAGGTTATTATAAATTGTGTCTTTTGAAATATTACATTTTCTTACTTGTTACTGGTGAATAGAAAGTGTGTTTATTTTTACATAATATTTTACATTATTTTTACATAATACATGAAGAGAATGTGTTGCATTCTCTGATTTTGATCATTCATCTGTTGATTGTTTTGCGTTTTCTCTATAGTCAGTCTTATCATTTCCCAATAAAAACAAAACAAATGATTTTCTTCCTTTTAAATTAATATATTTCAGATTCCAGGTCGTCCAATTCAGTGTTGATAAAGAATGTTCTTGTCTCTGATCTCAAAAAGAATGCGTTAAATAAATCTTTATTAACTATAATGTTTGCTATAGGTTCTTTTACAGAAATACTTTGTGATATTAAGAAAATTTCCTAATATCTCTAATGAGCTAAGCATTTTTTATCATAAATGGTTAATTTATAAAAAACATTTTCTGCATCTGTTGAGATAAGCATATGTTTTCACATTTATCTACTATCCTGGTAAATTTGCAGATTGCTTTTGTAATATTAAACCAATCTTGTATCCAGGATTAAACTATCTTGACAATGATACATTATATTTTTTATATGTTTCTGAATTTGCTTTGCTAATAATGTTACAGATTTTTATGTCTTTGTTCATGACTGATCTTGTCCTATCATTTTCCCTTATTGCACTGTGATGTTTGGGTTTTAATATCAACATTATGGTAAATCTCATAAAGCACAGTTGGGGGCCACTGTATTCCTTCCTGTTCTATATACTAGAGTAGTTTGTATATGCAAGAGTATAGAATATTCAGGGTTTTATTTCTCCTTGCTTCAGTTTATGTAAGTAAAAATTCTCTAGAAAAATAAATTCTGTAGGATTAGTTCTGTTTAAAATTTAAACTACGTAGCATAATATTCAAGAGATTTCATTATCTTTTAAATCTTTGTAGTATTTGAAGTTTTGATCCCATTTTTTAATTCCTATCCTTGCTTATTTGTGCCTTCTTTAAAAAAAAAAAAAATCCTGCCAGAGTGTTATCAACGTTTCCAATATTCGGGAAGAACCATGTATGACGTCTTATTCTGTTCTTTTATCTGTTTTCCATAGAATTATCTCTGGCCTTATTTTTATAATCTTCTTTTAATAATTTGAATTAATTTCATTGATCATTTCACAATTCTTTGTTATTTAAATTTTTATTGTGGTGAAAATATACGTAGCAAGACATACAGCATTTCAACAATATCTACATGTACAATTTAGTAACATGGATTACATTCTTCATTCTTGCTATCCTTTTACAAATTATTCCACCACCATTAATACTTTGTCTTAAATTATTAGCTCATTAAATTTCAATATTCTTTAAAGCATTTTCAATTAAAATTTCCCATGAGGTAGTGCTTAACTGCCTCTATGCACAGTCTCATGGGTACTTAACAACAACAGCATGCATTTAAAAATTTTAAATTTATTCTGTTGTTGTTATTGAGAATGCAGTTGTTAAGTGCCATCAGAGTCGATTCCCACCCTTTAAAGGGTTTTCAAAAGGAACAGTTGGTGAGCTTTTGAACCTCTGACCTTGCAGTTAACCGACTTTGCAGTCCAAACAGACTTTGCAGTCTGGCACATTAACCCATAATGCCACACCATTATTGAGAATTATTCTCAAGTTACTGAGAATACACACAGCAAAACACACATCAGTTTAGCAGGCTTTTGCCTGTACCATTCAGGAGCTCTGGTAGCGTAGAGGTTACGAATCGGGCTGCGAACCTTAAGGTCAGCGATTCGAAACTACCAGCCGCTCCGCGGGAGAAAGATGAGGCTTTCTACTCCGGTAAAGATTTACACCCTCGGAAACCCTGTACAGGGTCGCTATGGGTCGGAACCGACTCGACGGCATTTAACAACAACAACAACAACATTCAGTAATACTGATTACATTCTTTTAGTTGTTCAACCATTCTTGCCTTCCTTTTCTGGTTTTTCCTCCGTCAGTAGCACAAACTCACTGCCATCTAAATTTCCTATCTAATATGCCAAGTTGTTGTCACTTTGATCCTGTATGTTGTTGTTGTTAAGTGCCATCCAGTCATAGTAACTCTGTATAAGTTTTCAGTGGAGCAGCTGGTGAGTTTGAACTGTTGGCCTTGTGGTTCAAAGTCCAGTGCTGATCGTTTTGGGAGGATCTTAAAAAGAGTATAATGCTCATTGCAGACATTTTTTACCAGGCAAACTAGATTCTTGTTTAGTTTTAAGAAGATTTCAAGGGATTTTTTTAGTTTAAGATTTAAAGTCCTTTCTGAGCAACAGTTTCAGGGGTTTCCACACATTTTGATCTATAATATTTTTATTATTATTTCTTTCCAAGAATTTTATTCTTTACATTTGAATTCGTCCTTGCTTCATTAATTGTATATATCTTAATTTTCAGATACACAGGGGTTTTATAGTTATCTTTTTGGGGGACTGGGAAAGAGGAAAGAGTGAGGGCTAAGGTTGGGACTAAGGCTAGGTCTACACTAGGCCCAGGATTTCATTTCTTGTTAGCGTTATGATTAGTACTAGGCTTACTATTAAGGGTAAGTGTTGGTCTAGGGCTAGGAGGATGACTTGGTCTACTCTTTAGGGTTTACAGATAGGTTCATTTTTATTTATTTTACTTTTTTCTTGAAGTCTATTTGATTTCCTCTTCATTTGAAAGTTTAATAAATGTATTATTCCTTCTTTTACTTTATAATTTTTCTGTTGCAATTGCATCTGTATCTCTGATTTCCTATTTTCAGTCTTATCAATCTGTTTTTCTTTGCATATTTCTATATCTGGATTTGGAGTCCTGTTGTGGCACTGTAGGATAAGCACTGGACTGTTAACTACAAGGTCAGCAGTTCAAACCCACCAGTCACTCCACCCACCACGCATCTGTAAGTTTGTCTTACTGTGGTGACTTAACGTGTTATTGCAATGCTGGAAGTTATGCCACTGGTATTTTAATACTAACAGAGGACACCCTTGGTGGACAGCTTTCAGCTGATCTTCCAGACTAAGACAGATTAGGAAGAAAGAGAGGTGTACGTACTGCTTCTGAATGTTGAATATTGAAACATGAGGAAGAGCACCAGAAATATTGTTAGATAAAGTACCAGAAGATTGGAAGGCACTCAAAGTATGAATGGGGAACAAGGGAGAATTGCAACCCCTTGCCACCAACCTCTATCTAGCTTCACCCTGTGCCTGCAGGCCGCTGAATCCACAGCTGCTTGCAAAAGCTCAAGATGGCAGTGCCGTGCCACACTGGCCCGCAGTCCACCCGCTTTCCTTCTCTCTGGCTGCTGCTATTCAGCGCCTTCCAGTCAATACTCAGTCCCCCTTTCTGTCCTATCCTCTGATGCTCAGGAACCCAGGATCACCATCTGCATCTATTTCACTCAGTTACTCAGGTTCTTGTGGTAAAGGGTCTGCTCAGTGAGGCTGCTTATGCCACCATCTTGCTTCGAACTCTAGTTATCTTTTAGTTACTGGGTTTTAACACAATTAAACTGTGGACAGGAAATGTTTTTGTGTTTTGTATCAGTCTTCTGAAACTGGCCCAATATGCTGTCAGTTTTTATAAGTGCCGTGTTGTTAAGTGCCATCAAGTTAGTTCCGACTCATAGCAAACCTAATAAGATTTTCCAGGACCAGCTGGTGGGTTTGAACTGCTGATCTTGCAGTTAGAAATCCAGTGTTTATCCTTCAGTGCCACACCAGGATTCCATAGTGATTATAGTATGGACCCACATTATGTACACACAATGGTACTTTATTAAGTTTTTGGAAATTTTCATTATCTTTTTTTTTTT